GGACCAAGTTGTCCAGGAGCCGCACAGTCACCTCATGCCGAAAACCGTTCCATCACATTTGCGGCTAAGTCCCACTGAGGTGACCGGGAACCTAAGTCCTCAAGCCGAATTTAGTTCCATGATGTTTGCAGCTAAGTACCGCTGAAGACAATTCATGGATTTCTTCATGTGAACGGACGCCAGGGAGCTAGTGTTCGGTTCCATTCGAATGAAGGGAAAGTGCCGAACCAGGGGCATCCAGGAAAAGCTGCTGGCGGCTGGGGAGGTTTAACTTCCAAACAGGGTCTTTGGGTGCGGCTCGTAGTCCTTGGGCAGGAGGCTAGCGAGCAGGCTCCTCCTGGAGCTTGTGGCATATGCACATTTGCCACACGTTGTTTATAACATTAATGTTTGAGGCTTGATATTCAAGTGTACACGGTTTGTTCACGTACACCCACTCCTTTAGCTATCCCCTCAAACGTAATGTGGCTTTCTTTATTAGTTGCAAGCCAAACCGTTGTTTCAGGAGGTCCACTGTGGCCCTGGTTGTATGGGCAGTAGCCTCATCCTGATGACACCACATTTCAGATTTTCCTCTTTGCATCAAAATAATGGACCTTCCAGTTTAAAAAAAAAAAAAAAAAATTAATTTATTTTTATTTTTTTAAAGATACTTTATGGTGAAGGGGCTTGTGTACTTCGATGAAGCTATGAGTTATACCATGTAGGGGCACCCAAGATGAGCAGGTCATAGCAGAGAAGTCGGACAAATCATGGTCCACTGGAGAAGGAACTAGCAACCCACTCTAGTATCTTTGCCAAGATAATTATATTGACAAGCACAACCAGTGACTTAACGATATGGCACTGGAAGATGAGCCCCTCAGGTCAGAAGGTGCCTACGACATTACTGAGGAAGAGCAGAGGGCAGGTACGAGTAGCACCAAATCTAATGAAGTAGTTGGGCCAAAGCCGAGAGGACACGCAACTACGGATGTGTTTGGAGGGGAAAGGAAAGTCTGATGCTGCAAAAAACAATTTAACATAGGAACCTGGAATGTAAACACTATGAACCAAGGCAAATTTGGATGTGATCAAACTTGAGATGACAAGGTTAAACATTGATGTCCTGGGAATTAGTGAACTGAAATGGACTGGAATGGGACATTTCACATCAGACAAACATCACATCTTCTATTGTGGTCAATAATCCTGCAGAAGAAATGGAGTAGCCATCATAGTAAATCATCGGGTGGGCAAAGCAGTGCTAGGCTACAACCCAATAACTGACAGAATGAATTCAAATCGAATTCAAGGCAAGCCATTTAACATCAGTGATCCAAGTTTATTCTCCAACCATGGATGCCGAAGAGGCTGAGATTGTCCAGTTCTATGAAGATATTCAACACATGATAGATATAACACCAAGAAAAGATGTTACTATCCTCATAGGAGACTGGAATGCTAAAGTAGGGAACCAGAAGACTTCTTGGAATAACTGGCAAGTTTGGCCTTGGAGTTCAAAATGAAGCAGGTCAGATATTAGTAGAATTGTCAAGATAATTCTCTGGTCATAGCAAACACCCTCTTCCATCAGCCTCTGAGACGACTCTACACATGGACATCAGAATATCGACAATATAGAAATCAGATTGACTATATACTTTACAGCCAAAGATGGAGGAGCTCTATACAGTCTGCAAAAACAAGACCTGGAGCATACTGTGGCTCGTACCATGAGCTTCTCATTGCAAAGTTTTAGAATTAAACTGAAGAAAAGAGGGAAACACATCAAGACTAATCAGATACAACATAAATAATTTTCCTTGTGAAAATGCAGTGGAAGTAAAGAATAGATTTGAGGGATTAGACATGGACGATAGACTGAATGAAGAACTTTGGACCGAAGTTTGCAATATTATCCAGGAAACCGCAAGAAAAACTATCCCCGAAATAAATCTAAGAAGGAAAACTGGCCATCTGATGAGACTTTAAAAATAGCCCAGGAAAGAAGGAAATCAAAAGGTAGTGGAGATTGGAAAAAAAATTGTCCAACACAATGCACAATTCCAAAGGATAGCAAGAAGAGACAAGGAGACATTCTACAATGAGCAATGTAAAGAGATTGAAGACTATAACAGAATGGGAAAGTCAAGAGATCTATTCAAGAAAATTGGGGATCTAAAAGTTACCTTTCATGCCAAAGTTGGTGTGATAAGACAAAAATGGCAGGGACTTAACAGAAGAAGATCAGATAAAGAAGAGATGGCAGAAATACACTGAAGATCTATACAGGAAGGATTTTAACAGCAGTGATGTCCTCAATAGTTGGTCCAATGAGATGGAACCATAAATCTTGGAGAGCAAAGTGAGATGGTCTTTAGAATGCTTTGCAGTTAACAAGGCTGCAGGAGTTGATGAAATCCCAACTGAACTATTCAAAATTCAAAAACACCAGATGATGCTGTGAAAGTGCTGCTTGCCTTATGCCAACAAGTTTGGAAACTCAACAGTGGCGAAAAGACTTGAAAAGGTCTGTCTACATCCCAATCCCCAAAAAAGGCAATGCCAACGAGTGCTTCAGTTATTGAACTATTGCACTAATTTTACATGCCAGCAAGGTAATGCTTAAGATCCTACAAGCTCGACTCAAACAATACATGGACAGGGAATTACCAGATGTACAAGCTGGGTTCCGCAGAGGACGAGGCACAAGATCAAATTGCCAATGTACGATGGATAATGGAGCAAGCCAGAGAGTTCCAGAAAAACACATACTTCTGCATCATTGACTATTCTGAAGCCTTTCACTGTGTGGATCACAACAACATGTGACAAGTTCTTAAAGACATGGGAGTACCAGATTATCTCATCCGCCTCCTGAGGAATCTGTATGTGTATGTTCAAGATTGGGAAAGGAGTGCGACAAGGTTGTATATTGTCACCTTATTTATTCAACTTCTATGCGGAATACATAATGCGTACGGCTGGGCTGGATAAATCTATATTGCTGTAAGAAATATCAACAACCTCAGATACGCGGTTGATACTACTTTGATGGCTGAAAGTGAGGAAGAACCAAAGGACCTGTTGATGAGGGTAAAAGAAGAGAGTGCAAAAGCTGGCTTGATGCTTAACGTTAAAAAGACTAAGATCATGGCAAACGGCAATCTTAACAACAGAAACAAAGAAGCAAAAATTCACTAACTGTGAATATAATGCTGACTGGAAATAAAGACGCAGGCAACAAAGCATCCAGTGATATAGAACAATGTAACCAGAGGGAGACCACTAAATATCTGAAGTAACAGAAATAAATTGTGACTCAAAATATGAATAAATACCGAACTACCCTTACAAAGCTATTCCCATGCCTAAGTAAGTGAGGATATAAAATTACTAAACACCCAAATCTGCAATATTCGTATAGGTTTAATTAGTCCTGGCCCTTTAATGCATAGGGTGTTCGTAAATCTCCGCTTAGTACCGAAGCTCCAGAAAAAGTGCCAAAGGGTGAAAGGTCACTGTAAAAGACTGGCGTCCCTAATAATCAAAAGTAGACAGACAGATAAATTGAAGTGAAATAAGGCACATGAAGAAGTGGACGACAGAGATGGATAGATGAGGTCACTGAAGCTACGAACATGACGTTGCTGGAGCTCAGAGAGGCAGTGACTGACAGATGTTATTGGTGTGCTATGGTTCATATGGTCACGGAGAGTCAGACACAACTGATCGACTAAATAACAATTTTAAAAATCCATTTCCTTTTAAATATTCGATGAATGGATTATGGTATTAAAATAGTTGAGGTGACAGCTATCCTTTAACTTGCATCCTGATGGTAATTGTCCTTTGTTTCTTTACCAAGAAGTGAATAGTGAAAAAGTCTAAGAAATGGTTAATCAGTGCTTTACATAAGGTGTACATAACGAGCTTGTATAATATCTGTTGGGAATTTCCAGCTGGGTGTGTATTCTTCGTAATGTGTGTACAAAGGGCTGGGAATTTACACCAGGTTGAGATGTGTAAATACGGCCAAATAACCCCCAGTCAAGAAATCCAGCAAAGCCGCCTTCTTAAACGGACACTATAGTCACCTGAACAACTTTATCTTAATGAAGCAGTTTTGGTGTATAGAACATGCCCCTGCTGTCTCACTGCTCAATCCTCTGCCATTTAGGAGTTAAATCCCTTTGTTTATGAACCCTAGTCACACCTCCCTGCATGTGACTTGCACAGCCTTCCATAAACACTTCCTGTAAAGAGAGCCCTATTTATGCTTTCTTTATTGCAAGTTCTGTTTAATTAAGATTTTCTTATCCCCTGCTATGTTAATAGCTTGCTAGACCCTGCAAGAGCCTCCTGTATGTGATTAAAGTTCAATTTAGAGATTGAGATACAATTATTTAAGGTAAATTACATCTGTTTGAAAGTGAAACCAGTTTTTTTCATGCAGGCTCTGTCAATCATAGCCAGGGGAGGTGTGGCTAGGGCTGCATAAACAGAAACAAAGTGATTTAACTCCTAAATGACAGTGAATTGAGCAGTGAAATTGCAGGGGAATGATCTATACACTAAAACTGCTTTATTTAGCTAAAGTAATTTAGGTGACTATTGTGTTTCTTTAATGTTTCACTGAGCTGCTTGTTTTATAGTTTTTATAAAGCTTTTATTGCGTTACTGAAGGGTTTATTAACTAAATAGTGAATTGAAATCCAAGTGACAGAGTTGGAAGAATCATCTCTCCCGGTTTAGCCACACTTTGGCCATTTGAAATATCCTACTTTGGTGTTCTGATCTCCAGAATTCTCTGCTGAATAAATCCCATTACTTTAAGCAATAATATTATATAAAAATTACTTTTTGCTTTTTATTATATATTGGGGGTATGTCATTTAAAAGTTGACTACAGACTGTTTTGAAGAGTGAGATGTGAGTTGGAATCCAACTAGAGCAAGCAGAACATTGTATGTAGAAATGGCTGAGGATGATGTGGGAGTAATTTTGTTACACAGGTTCTTATGTTAATATATATTTTTCGTTACCAGGAGTGGCTGAGTGAGGTTCAGGACGTCTCACAGAGAGAGTCCCTGGAATGGAGCGAGAGAAGCGCAGTGTAGGGGGGATCCTGTCGTCTCTCTCCCTCCTCTGCGTGGTCCTAGATCTCCAGCTGGATGGTAAGCGGGTGATACAAGCTATGGAAAATCCCCTGACATAGGCAGTGCTATTGGACAAAGCTACTCATTTAACATCAAGGGTGTCTTATAGTAACTGATCTAAAAGTTAAAATCCAGTATTTATCCCAGTATCTGTATGTGTTCAGACATTGCTGGCTTCATATCTAATGGACCACGTGCTATCAGAACAGGCTCAGACAGAGCTTGGTTCATATCTAATGTACCGCATGTTATCAGGACAGGCTCAGACAGTGCTGGCTTCATATCTAATGTACCGCATGTTATCAGGACAGGCTCCGACAGTGCTGGCTTCATATCTAATGTACCACATGTTATCAGGACAAGCTCCGACACCGCTAGCTTTGGATTTAACATATGATGTTTGGTTTCTAGGATGTTTAGCCGCCAGTCATGCAGAAATCGAAAATCACTTGGAGATGGGAAGGAAGCTTCTAGCTGCTGGGCAATTGGCTGAAGCTCTATCTCACTATCATTCTGCTGTGGGTGAGTAACACACCTTTCATGTCACTCCTCAGTATTAGGTAAAAGTGTTGTATAAACAGAGTAGCCTGACCACAACGTGATTACAATTATTTGTGCCTAGATGGTGCAACTTTGTATGTTCCAAAGATTTTCCTTCATATCCTTATATTATATGGACTGCTGCAATAGACTATTGCTGACTAGTTGAGGATGATATGGTTTGCATTAAAGCCAGATTCCATAAAATTTTGCTGTAGTTTAAGAAAAAAATAATAATTTGACTGAAATTGAAGCATAGTACCAAAATCTGACAGGGTTTCCATTTTTGCTTTATATATTTAGTTCTCTATAACCCCCACATGATGACACAGACAGAAGGAGCTATGAGTCTGTCCCTCCCCCAGCAGGGTGACACAGTGACACAGACAGAAGGAGCTATGAGTCTGTCCCTCCCCCTGCAGGGTGACAGTGACACAGACAGAAGAAGCTATGAGTCTGTCCCTCCCCCTGCAGGGTGACACAGTGACACAGACAAAAGGAGCTATGAGTCTGTCCCTCTCCCTGCAGGTGACACGGTGACACAGACAGAAGGAGCTATGAGTCTGTCCCTCTCCCCTCCTCCCCCCCTCCCCTCCACAGGGTGACACAGAAGGCGCTAGGAGTATGTTCCTGCCCTATTGGGTCACACAGTTGCATACAAAAAAGTTAGGCATATTTAATTTCTTGTTACATTTTACCTTTCAGATGGAGATCCCAGAAACTACCTGACCTATTATAAGAGGGCAGCGGTGTATTTGGCAATGGGGAAATTCAAGTCAGCCCTTCCTGATCTCAGCAAAGCCATTGACCTAAAGCCAGACTTTATGGCTGTAAGTCTCTTGTGTCATTTGTCATATGTCTACTTCCATTTAATGTTGGTTACCACCTGCACTAGTGAAATATATCCTCTATATAATCATCAACTAGAGTAGTAGAAACGGGGGGGACATGTAGTTACATAGGCTGAAAAGGGACCTGTGTCCATCAAGTTCGGCCTTCCTCTTATTTGTTTTTTGCTGTTGATGCAAAAAAAAAAAAAAAACAGTTTGAAGCATTTCCAATTTTGCAACAAGCTAGGAAACAAAATTCCATTTTGACCCCAGAATGGCAGTCAGACTAATCTATGGATCAAGAAGACCCTACATTGAAAAATTATATCCTTGAATATTCTGTTTTTGCAAGTATGCATTTAGTTGCTGTTTAACCCCCTTAAGGACGGCGGGCGTGCTATGCCGTCCTTGGAGACTCCGCTCTAAACGTCGGTGGACGGTATAGTACGCCCCCACCGTCCTATTCACTTACCTGCTCGCAGGCAATCTCACACTGGCGATCGCGATGGGGGACTTACCTGGGAGCCCAGGGAGTCCCCCTGCTTCCTCTTCGGCCCCTCTGGGCCATGTGATTGCGAGGACCTCATAATCACATGGACGGGATGAAAATTAAAATAAGGTTAAAAACAGTGTAAAATAAAAATAATATCTCATATAATATATAGACAGACAGACAGGGTTGTTCGATGGGCTATGTCCCTTTTAAAAGGGACTCCCCCTCCTACCTAACTTACCTACTGGTCCAGACATACTTTTGGACTTCCGGTACTCTGAAGGATTTCAGTTGCAGCTCTCAACCTCCTCCTGACAGCTCGCCAGGGGTTCGCTCCCCAGAACACTCTGCTGCCCGTCAGTCATTTTTTCCTGCCGAACAGTAAGTGAGCAGACCGGTATCATTAGCCCGACCCACCGAGGTCTACGGCTACCATATACCACGGGGGTACGGCAAACCCCCCCCCCCACAGACACAGGTCACGGAGGTCTGAGGTACCCTAGCATGGCCTCCTCCGGCTGATTTCACCTTGTCACTGGGCGGCAGATCAACAGTGAGTACAGATGGGTACAGCAGTACACCGTCTATGTCTCACATAGGTATTACTTTTTTCTACATTCCGCCGAGGTCTATTACGGTTCCCTCCATGCATACTTTCACCCTCTCAGGGTAGCAGGGGCACAGAGGGTAACTCTGTATCAGCGCCCCCCTCCCCTACCAACAGCGGCACGGGAATCTCACTTACCGGCCTTGGTAACGGATTTTCCCCAACGGTCTGAATCTCCCCCCATCCCCTCTCAGCAAGTGCACGGAGTTTGTCCCATTCACAACACCTCTCCCCCTCCCCCTGAGAGTTTCACTTACCGGCCTCGCCGGCTCCCACTGCCCCTCCTATCAAGGGAACGGAGTCCCTTTACTTAACGGCCTCACCAGCCACCCCCCCCAGGGTCTCTTAGCAAGCACATGGAGGTCATTACATCCCCCACTCCCCCAGCAGAAGTGTGATTACTTACAGGGTCGGAGTCCTGTCAGCAGCCAGGTACACTCCCTCCAGGCGCAGGTCTAATCACTGCCGGTAAGCGCGATCACTTACAGCACTGTAACGGCAGAGTAGGCTGTAAAACGCAAGCGGCAAGGCAACTCACATCACACCCAGGCAGTTGTAAACGTGCAATATTAAAACATGGCAGTCCACAAACGGGCATATAGGTTGCCACACAAGTCATGTTAATAAATTGAATTGATTTGTTGATGAAATCCATCTACTCATTCGTAAATGTTACTGGTTATTCATATGTCATGTTTTGAACAACTGTGTGTTGGCATTACATTTGTAGAGGGTTTCCCTCTGGGGGCATGTTATCCATTGCTGGCTTTCTAAATTTTTATGGTACAGCCCTGTTGTCAATTACCCCTAATATATTGCTCTGTGCGATCAGGGCAGCACAGCGCCGCCTGGTGGCCATGCCGCACGTGGCTGCAGATTGGCAGCCATACGCCATGCATATTTAGATGTCATTACCACATATTAACTTGTTCCACATTCTTAAAAGGTTAAACGCATGGAATTAGTTCTCCCTCGGTATATATGTTCGTTCAGTAAGTGTTATTTGATATCTAAGTCTGCTTTATGAGTCAGAAACCTAGACAAAGATTGAGTGTTGTAGTACTATCAATTGGTACATACTGTGTCGGCCACAATCATTCCCTGTACCAGTCATACATTTTCGTCATTTATATTCTATCACTACGATTCAGCAAGCAGGAACATAAATGTTTGTAAAGGACAATCTGTACTGAACAGACTCTTGTGAACCTAACATAACAAATTCTGACATGCGGTACAGACTCAAAGCTCCAAACTTACAGTATAAGTGCCAAATCAGGAATTTCACCTAAAGGTAGATGAAGGTTGTTAATGTTGGAATTAAACACTACGATTGCGGGGGATATTTCAGCAGGTTGAGTGTCGTTACATAATCATATGTACCCTCTTCCTTCTATTCTGTCCTCCACCATCTTGGGTTAGGCCTCCCTCCTTAGCAGGATCTCAGCCTACCACAGAACAAACCAAGCATACATGGTTTCATACAGGTACGTTGCTCCCGATTCCTGTCCTATTACAGGGAAGCAATCCACAGAGAGGATTGAGTATGGCCACCTAGGTATTTTCTCCCAGGCACTCTATGCCATAGAGATAGAGGTACTGCGAGGCCAACACCCATCTTCCACGTAAAAGGTAATATGCCCCACGGGCCAAATCATAGTTAGTCGCCTCGCTTGTTGCATAGTAAGGGCCTCACTTGTCACAACTCTCCCCAATTTAGGGACTCATTCCTTGTAAAGCAACAAACCAGCAGGTTACCCCCTCGCGCCAACCATAGGTAGATCCTTTCAGGCCACTTGGCGACCAGTAGGGACTTACCTTTCACCAGTCTGATTGTTTCGCCACTTCGGCACTAGTTAAAACAAATGTATACACCCTCAAGAGAAATCTCATGATTCTTACATATGTAATTCAGTTTGTCCCAAGTTCCAGAAGAAGGAGATGACATTTCTAGTCAAAGTACTCCAACTAGGACTGCCACCTCTACACGTAAAGGGGACCCCAGCAGTACATCTTCGATTAGATCGGGGACCATCCCACGAATCACGGCCGAATTCCGCAGGGAAACATACCCTTAACAGCTACTGCTACTGTATGGCAAACCTAAAGAATGACATCCTGGAGGGCAAGGACGTTAATCTCGTCTCGCTTCCCAGGATGTCACAGAGTACCGCTCATACAGCTAGGGCGATATCTCAGAGGTCCTTATGGCCGGAGACACAAGACTGAGGAAATTATTCATCAGTATAGTTATAAACCTTCATGGTCTTGTGTCAGTACACACTACTGCATTCCACAGGTCTCAGCCTACATTCCTGGCTATTGTGTTCGGTACATCTACCCTCAGGTCATTGGACTCAACAGGTATTTAGTATATGTAAAGAAAAAAGAGGGATGGAACAGTGCTATCCAAACTGTTTATTTAGTACATGTAGTCATGGTATTTCAGCACCTCCTATCATGTTCCCCGTATAGACCGTAAAACGATCATATGTTACGCTGAAAGTTGCTGTACGATATCAGTATGGCCATATTTCAGTTATGGTTACACTGTCATTACCAGTAACTTTCAGCTGATCTACAACTAAATAACCACCAAACTCACCCCATTAAAGTCCACTCAGACTTACGTTACCTCCCAGTACCACAGGAACTACATTGGCCGCTCTTAACCTCTCATGCATAGTCCTCACACAAAGCCATCTATGGACCATTGGGAACATAAGTCAGGTAACCTTAGGGGACAAATACGTCCTATTTGCAACCTCTCATTTGGGCACTAAGTTCACATATCTGCTGGATAGGAATGTATGCGTAAAGTGCAGCTATCTCACAGCTTTCTACCTGTAAATCAACACGTCTTATAGTATTATACTTCTGCTATATCTTGCACTGTCCACATACGGCCATACAGTAGCTCTCCTCACTACCCTACCTACACGACCTACTCCAGGCCAAATGTACAGAATGTAATAATTCCCTCAGAACAGACGTTCTCATTACCTTTCATTGTACTAATTCAGTCTAGCATATTGTCAATTTACGACACGCACAACATACCGCATACATTATGATACGTAATGAAGTTACCAGGTGGGTCATTTTTAAGTTTCACGGGGTCGACCTTACTATCCAACCGCCACTGGGCTTACAGAGTCAATTCCATACTGGACTATACCCACATCACCACTGCATATTAGACCAGTTCATATACATCATATTATACTGTCCTTCCCGTTTTTCTTGGCTATTTGACTGCTCGGGCAACATGGTACAAGTTACCACATTAGCCATGCACAGGCAATGCCTATTGTACGGCCTTACCCAACATCTAGGCTGTTAAGTAATTATAGCTTACAGGGGCAACCATGACCTTAGAATGCCACGGCCAATTTGATTCACAACCACACTCTTTTATATGTGGCATACGACCCACCAAATGGCTATCCACTATAGCATACTGGCAGCCCCTCATTTGGGCTATTACATACGGCATAAGGATTACAATTTTGACATAAGATTGCAAAACTTTGTCACAAACTACCACAGCAGGCCTCTACACGGGGCCCTCACTAGGCCATCACTCTCACGTTACATACGACCCACTGCGATCAATCCACTAAGACTCAATTTCGGCCCACAGGGGGGAAATTACATACGACCATGGTCACGTTAGACCATTCAAGCCTCCCTATACGGCCCTTTCTCGGCCCTTACAACTCCAGTCATAGACACTTAAGCGATCGCCAATATTCGTTCCAGCTGGTAACCTAGAATGTCCTACACACGTCATATATTTCAGGTCTTCTAGCGGAAGGACGCCCAGCAGGAACTCACCTAGGCACAATCTATTTAGGTGTCTCTTCCATATACATATATGTCTTTAACTAGGGTCATCTACATACATAGTCACCCCAAAGCAGCGGCTTACACAGGGCTTCTGCAATCTCAGGGGACAGTGGGCACGGGGTAGGTGGCCGGGAAATAAGGAGCAGCAAGGAACCAGATCGAAGGGTTCCTTACGAACTCTGCATTACTATGGCTACAATTATACCCATTGTAGCCATAGTAGCAACATGGGGTCATTCATGAGCATGCAGACCGGTTCAAGGTCTCGGACAATTTGTCAATGGGCCACGTCATAAACAAGTCCGGTCTTGTATTCCTTATTATGAAAGCATCAGACGACTAACCTAGTGGAAGCCTGTCACCAATTTTAGCTGGTATGTTACCACGTATCAGTCATTTACAGTACAACTGCTGACCAGTTATCTAGTCTTCAGTTTCAGGCGTTCAGGAGGTCCCTAAGCAACTGCCTCACCGATAGCCATGATCGCTCCCCAGGTCCCAGCATACCTATGGAATAGAAGAGTTGTTAAGTCACAGCAGGAATTCACACAGTTGGCCCGCAAAGAATACGCACACTGCTATGACAGAGCTTACTGCATTTATCGAAGTTCATGTCAGATCACCACCTTACAAACTGTTTCAAGAATACAAGATGGGGGCTTTCGCCACTTTTTGGCCACATCAGATAAATGTCACACAACACTATTAAGTTATATCTCCCGGGCATTCAACACCACATGTTCTCAGTTACAAACATCATTCACAAATCCGCTATATACTTGGCTTTTATGGTTTCCCACGACCAGAGAAGTTACCATCATAGGGCAACACGATTCCAAGCTTTGCCTATGGTGTTCTAACCTGTACAAATACAGGATCACTACGTATAAACTTACCATCAACTAAGACCAGCCAGAGGGGTCACGAGGTACTTATTCAGTACAACCCCACCAACAACGCATACCTCAGCCGACCCAGGAATGTGAAATGTCACCGTAATACGCTAACTCCTTGTCTTGTGTTTTTGTAATAAACATCTTTGAGTACACTATATGGGTATTCCTTTTGCCCACTTATTTACAGGCCTACCACACACGTCTGTTTCGGCACACCTCTACCGACTTTTTCATTATTGTGATAAGTATACTCACTAGCTATTTCATACTATACTGAAATGGCCCCGAACACAAATTGGAAGGCAGGGCCTGAAATGTGGGAGCGGCTATGTCCCTTTAAAAGGGACTCTCCCTCAATCCTAACTTACCTACTGGTCCAGACGTACTTCTGGCCCACCCTCCTCTCCCTCTATTCAATACTATTTAAGGTAGGCCCACTTATTTACATACCTACCACACACATTGGTTTCGGCACACCTCTACCGACTCTTTCATTATTGTGATAAATATACTCTCTAGCTATTTCATACTATACTGAAATGGCCCCGAACGCAAATATAAATATATAAATAAATAAATAAATAAATATATCACTGTCTTTAAGTGTATTTTAATATTAATATATTATCAAAATACACGTAGAATGATATTAATTATATAATTAGAAGTGTGTGTGTATGTATATGTGTGTGTGTGTGTGTATGTATGTATATATATGTGTATATATATATTTATTATAAGTATATACGTTAAAAATGAAAAATAATTTTAAAAATGTCATTTCGTTCTAACTGTATTTTGATACTAATGTGTGTAGATATATATTGATATCAAAATACAGTTGGAACAAAATAATATATAAATGAAAAACAGTAAAATGTATTACAACGATGAGATCAGTGAAAGTGATGGGGGTAATTCTCATTCCTTGGCTAAACAATCTGGCGAATTTCAATGTGAAAAAACGGAAAAATGTGAACGGCTATATTTGACCCTGTAACTTCCCGCAACACCATAAAACCTGTACATGGGAGGTGCTGTTTTACACATGAGACATCGCTGAATACAAATATGTTACTGCAGTAAATGCAAACAGTATTAGGACATTCACAGTTAAAATGTCACGCAGAACTAAAAAAAATAACATTTCTTCATTTCTCACATTTATTTAATATTTTAGTCATGTTAAATTATGTTTCCTAGCTAAATATATGATGTTAAATGACAGCCCTATTTCTCCTGAATAAAATGATATATAATAAGTGTGAGTGCACTTAATATGAAAGAGGTGAATTACGGTTGAACAGACATATAGTCAAATTTCAAGTTTTGTTTACGTTTTATTTTGATCAAAACGTGTACATTTGGCTCAGTCCTTAAGGGGTTAAACATCTGTACGGACTCTGACAAAATATCTTCTTCAGGCAGAGAATTCCATATCCTTATTGTTCTTCTGGTAAAAAAAACAAAAAACAAAACCTTTACTTTGCTTTAGACTAAATCTTCTTTCTTCCAGTCTAAACGCATGACCTTGTGTCCTATATAAAGTCTTGTTTGTGAATAGATTTCCACACAGTGGTGTTTATTGGCCCCGAATATATTTGTATAATGTTATCATATCCCCTCTGAGGCAATGTTTTTCTAAACTAAAGAGGTTTAAATTTAACATTTCTTCATAGTTAAAATGTTCTATTCCTTTTATTGATTTTGTAGCCCTACTCTGCAATCTTTCTAGTGCCATTATATCCTTCTTCAAAACAGGTGCCCAAAATTGCACAGCATATTCAAGATGTGGTCTTACCAGCGATTTATAAAGACACACAGTGTATGGGCAAAAGTATTGGGATCATCTTAAATTCAGGTGATCGATCAAACCCTTTGCCATAGGTGTATAAAGAACCTAGCCATGCAGTCTGCATTTACAAATATTTGTGAAAAATAGGTCCATAAAGCAATGGTTGGATGAGTTTTGTAAGGAAGAATATGACTGGCCCCCACAGATCCCTGATTGAACACCTTTGGGATGAACTGGAATTGTGAGTCCTGCATCAGTGCCTGACCTCACAAATGTTCTACTGGATGAATGGGAGAATGCCTTCCCAGAAGAGTGGAAGCTGTTATATCAGCAAAGGAGTGAAACTGCATGTTGATATCTATGTATTTAGAATGCAATGTCATAAAATTCCCTACTGGTATAATTGTCAGGTGCCCCAATACTTTTGTCCATAGAGCGTATATCTGTTTCTGTGGGTTTGGTTTGCAGTACAATGTATTGGGCTTCCACTCTGTAGCTGGTCCTAACCTAAAAACAAATTTCTGATTCTCCATTCAGTCCATCTTTATTCCTCTTTATCTTCCTTTGAATACATCCCCCTCTCACCTTCTGTGCTGCAGAGGTGGTTAAAAACCTCTTATGTCACTTTCCTGATTACAGCACCCATGTTCCTCCACGCTGGTTCAGACTCCACCTTCCAGACCAAAAGTCTCCTAACCACTTGGAAGTCCCTCTAGTGGCTGTCTTGTAGACAGTCTCTAGAGGTGGAGTTAACTGTAGCCGGTAATTATTGTAATTTATTAAAAACCGCAATATTTACCTTTGCAGGATTAAGGTACCTGTCCGTCAATTAGCAGAAGTAGTTTGGTTGTCTATAGTGTCCCTTTAATGGCAAAACCCTTCCAACTTTGATATTTGTCGAGCACAAACTATACCTAATGAAGAAACCTTATGCAAAATGTACGATCCACTCTACAGAGCAGATAATTTTGGCAGCAAATCCTTCCTTTAAAGAGTTAATTTAACCTGTTTCTAGTGCATGTTGTTAGTCTACTAGCAGTCAGATTCTTGTTTCCAATAGTAAAAATCCCTTATGCTTGTACGTTATGGGTTAACCTGTCCTGTTTCTTCATTCCCAGGCCAGACTGCAGAGAGGAAACATTCTCTTAAAACAGGGAGATACTCAGGAAGCCAAGGAAGACTTTGAAGCTGTTGTGAGTATATATGTATATAAGGTATCTCACAAAAGTGAGTACACCCCTCACATTTTTGTAAATATTGTATTATATATTTTCATATGACAACACTGAAGAAATGACACTCACTTTTGTTGCCAACGGTTTAGACATTAATGGCTGTTTGTTGAGTTGTATTGAGGGGACAGCAGATTCACACTGCTATACAGGCTGTACACTTACTACTTTACATTGTAGCAGAGTGTCATTTCTTCAATGTTGTCACATGAAAAGATATAATAAAATATTTACCAAAATGTGAGGGGTGTACTCACTTTTGTGAGATACTACTTTTTTTTGTTATGTTTTTTTGTCCATATTTCTCTCCAGGAGTCTGTTTTTTTTTTTTTGTTTGTTTTTTTTTGTTTTTTTTTAAATCACTCATTTTCCTTGTGTGGGTCTTGTTTGTGACAGAGATTTGAGATGTTCATGCGGCACTTTTAATATATAATATTCAAGCTCCTCTTACATATATGGATTCACTGATTTGATTTTAAAATAATGTTCAACTGTTTGCTATTCTGCTAGCGTTAGTAGCTGTCCATACAAACACTTTATCCTACTGATCATCTGTTTTCCTGACATGGAAAATGGCCAACATAATCTTGTAATAAATCATCTTTTTATTAAATCATGTAAAGTCTATATGTCTCTGTCTGAGGATATAGCTAGGTGCCAAAAAGATTGTGATGAGACCAAACACATCTGTGATGGAGTGAAGCTGAAGAAAGGCGATAAGCGCACACAAATAAGGAGTTGTTACCTTATACATACATTCCTCTTTTTATAGAGAACACACACATTTCCTATACAGAAGTAAAAATAAAATACAACATAGTGTAATCTGTATATATGTTTCTGTAAGTAGGTGTCAGAATTAGGAACACTCGCAATTTTCTGAGCCCATTAAAGTTGGCTCTGGACTATAGAACATGTATGTCTCCTTAGGGACACAAGGTAGCTTCCTCCAATAATGGGGTCCCACAAAGTGCAAGATTGCTGGAATCAGGAACTCCAAGAATAGGTAAGTTGCTAAAAACGATTTATTGGATAAACCATAAACCTAAAATATGCACAACGCGTTTCAACCCTACAATGGGGTCTTCCTCGGGGGCTGTTGAATATTGCACTGGTCTAAACATGCTTATATATGTATTGTGATAAGGTGAATGGGGTGGTCTGTGAGGGAGTTTATATTTCATCTGCATTGTTCAGAGAGGCATATGATATTTAACCCCAGGGGGAGTGTGTTTATGTATATAACATAAATGCATATTTAGTTATGGGCCTCTGGGGTGGAGCATTTGGAGAGAAGGGTGGGCCAGTGCTCCACTCCGCTGTTTGTTTTTTCTTGGGAGACTAGGTCCAGACCAGGGTTTGGACTGTCTCCAACCCACTGCTCAGCTGCAGGTAATCAACTGCAGCAGTGGGAATAAACCCCTCCCTGCTAGGCAGGTAAGGGGAGAATGTTTGTTTTTGTTTCTCTCTTGATTAGCTGGAAGCAGCAGGCTGACTAAACACTGGAGTGCTGAGAGCTGACAAAGACACTAGGGTGGTGAAACCAGTATTGTTTTGTTATAGTTTAACCCCTGAGAGATGGGGATGCTGAAGTTAGTAAGTACTCAGACGAGCTAGGCTTTAGTTTATAGGGATTTGTGTTACATTATTTTTTTTTTTTTTTTTTGCTGTCTCTATGGTGAAGCTCAACAATAAAGTGCCTGGTTACGTTTAAAGACTGTTACTTTTAAAGACTGTGCATGTCTGTACCCAAAAGGACCGTGCTAACTGCAGACAAGGATCACAGTATATACTAATTAACAATAATGTACTCATTTTGTACAAGAAACACTCCCATCTCCAAATATGGTCTGAAGCAGAAACGTCATTTTGGGGGTGGCAAATAAGTTTCCGGTTCGGACCGTATTTGGACATGGGAGTGTTTCTTGTACAACATGTGTACGTGTACCACTTTTAGATTCTTGAGCGCCACCTATACTTCGTTTCTGAAATTACATCTGTGACGGAGCCTCCATGCCAGGGAATTTTGGAGAGGCTTGAAGGCCAGTCCCCTGCCCACAAAATATGGGCCTGGTCCTTACTGACACTTACTGGGCTTTCCAGCCAGACATGAGGACCTTTGGGGATCGCATGGACTCCTTTTACACATTGAGCGACTAACCGGCAGATACTCTGGAACTGTTGCTTGGATCGGGACTGTGCCAAGGTCAGATCAGTTTTTAAAGCAGTTATTGCTCATTTGGAGGTTAGGTCGGGAAGGCAAGAAGGAATCGGGGGATGCCCGAGAAACTACTTTTTAGAGACCCGGTATAAGTTGCTTCATGCTGGAACTCTTTGTCGAATTGAAAAGTAGCTGCAAATCAGTAAAACTTTAACACCTTGTAACTTTGTAGCAGATCAAAGTGCTGTTTGGACATTAGGGCATTCCGGGGCTCTATATTATCTGGGGGTACGACCCAGGGAAAGGGGCTTCTGCCGGACATTTTGTGTGCTGTGTCTGTAGGACTGGGAGAGTACAGCAGGGTCCTGATTGTTTTTGCTGGGGATAATGTAATTAAGTCCCCAGACATACTGCGCATTGCTTTGTTTGGAGGAAACCCAGAAAGGAGAGAACGCAATGCTATGTATCAATAGCTGTGTGCTGAGATATAAAGATCATTCTAACCCCTGCATTCAGACTTGTCAAATGTGTATAGGAAAAACTATAGTCTTTATAAGAGAGAAGGTCTCCTGAGTTATAATCACTGCAGCCTAGTCTGGTGGAAGAGGTCCACAGAGACCCCAGTCAAGCTCAGGTGACTGGGTCTGAGGGGCTTCAGAGTCCCTGGTAGCTGAGAGGAGGCTGACTTGGGGTAGGTATGTCACATTTACTGTTCTGAATAGCTTGCATATCTCAAGTTGGACTTTGACACTCACCTTTTGGCACCTAGCTAGCTCTCAGAGAGACTTCAACTCACAGACCTCTGCCTGCACTGTCTCTAAATAACGCCTTTGGCTTTCAGGCCTTGCTCGTTCTTAGGTCATCTTGGGGATCAGGGACCAGTGCAGCCAGCCAACAGGTCAGAAAGCTCCAGATCTCTGAACAAACGCGACCAGACACATGGTTCCCAATGGAACCAACACACAATACCGTAGTTTCACTCAGGACTAACCCTATCTGCATTACATTCCACTTATGGCGATACACCAACCATAATAGCATGGGGAATAATGCAGGCACTTATATAACACAATACAATAATTATAAAGGGGTGGGGAAGACCAACACTGACACGTTATGCCTCCCCTGCCTGCCCAAACCATAATATGCACATTAACAAGCCTTGCTATTCAGGTTGTGCACCACGTGACTGTTCCAAGATCTTCATAACCAACAGGTGGCGCGTCACAGGCTCCACAGTCAAATCCACCTAGTTGTTTGAGGGCATCAACAGGACAGGAAAGCACACAAAACATTTTAACAATTAACAAAAAATACACACCCTGCACCTATAATGGGCACAATTAGTGTCAGAGACGTACACAAACAGGCAGCTCCATAACTCCCAACTGCAAACCCATATCCCAGCCCATGGTGGAGCAACACTGGGAATAACGGAGGCCAACCGTTACTAAAATAGCTGCCTGGGAGAAGGCAGAGTTTATATAGGCCCAGTGATTGTGATCGTCACAGTATCTGCATAAATGCTGGGGGAAGTGTGAAACAAAATGTCAGGCTGACTGCAGTTAATTTTCCTATTAGTACATTCTGCGCTACATTTAGAGATACAATTTGCTGTCCTTTAATGGTAGTACAACTTACATTATCACCCATAGCAAGTGAAGGGCAGACAAGAACGGCGGAGCTTTCCTCTGCAGCTGAGGAGGAGGAGTCAATATATATATAAAAATTTTCCTGCTTTTAGTGGTGACTAGTGGTTTATATTTAAATGTACTATGAGCATGCTGAGCATTAAACCTCTCAGTGGGTCAGGTTAACTGTTTGTATGTTAGTCTGCAGTATTAGTTCAACCTGTGAAATCAAATTAAAGGGAGTATCTAACGGTTTTCTCTATTTCTCTCATGTCAGTTGTTGAATAGTCCTTCAAATGAAGAAGCCCAGAATCAGCTGGAGAGAGTGAGAGAGCTTGATGACCGGTTACAGGAAGCATGGGAGGCGTACGATAGACAGGATTATGGAGAATCAATATCCCTGCTGGAAAGAGTGGTTGAGGTAAATATTCCTTTCTATATCACTTCTCACTCTACCTGTGTCACCCTGCAGGGGGAGGGACAGACTCAAAGCTCCTTCTGTCTGTGTCACCGTGTCACCCTGCAGGGGGAGGGACAGACTCATAGCTCCTTCTGTCTGTGTCACCCTGCAGTGGGAGGGACAGATTCATAGCTCCTTCTGTCTGTGTCACCCTGCAGTGGGAGGGACAGACTCATAGCTCCTTCTGTCTTTGTCACCCTGCAGGTGGAGGGACAGACTCACAGCTCCTTCTGTCTGTGTCACCCTGCAGGGGGAGGGACAGACTAATAGCTCCTTCTGTCTGTGTCACCCTGCAGGGGGAGGGACAAAGTCATAGCTCCTGTTTGTGTCACTGGGCAGGGGCAGACTCATAGCTCCTTCTGTCTGTGTCACCCTGCAGGGGGAGAGACACTCATAGCTCCTTCTGTCTGTGTCACTGTGTCACCCTGCAGGGGGAGGGACAGACTCATAGCTCCTTCTGTCTGTGTCACCCTGCAGTGGGAGGGACAGACTCATAGCTCCTTCTGTCTGTGTCACCGTGTCACCCTGCAGGGGGAGGGACAGACTCATAGCTCCTTCTGTCTGTGTCACTGTGTCACCCTGCAGGGGGAGGGACAGACTCATAGCTCCTTCTGTCTGTGTCACTGTGTCACCCTGCAGGGGGAGGGACAGACTCATAGCTCCTTCTGTCTGTGTCACTGTGTCACCCTGCAGGGGGAGGGACAGACTCATAGCTCCTTCTGTCTGTGTCACTGTGTCACCCTGCAGGGGGAGGGACAGACTCATAGCTCCTTCTGTCTGTGTCACTGTGTCACCCTGCAGGGGGAGGGACAGACTCATAGCTCCTTCTGTCTGTGTCACTGTGTCACCCTGCAGGGGGAGGGACAGACTCATAGCTCCTTCTGTCTGTGTCACAGTGTCACCCTGCAGGGGGAGGGACAGACTCATAGCTCCTTCTGTCTGTGTCACCGTGTCACCCTGCAGGGGGAGGGACAGACTCATAGCTCCTTCTGTCTGTGTCACTGTGTCACCCTGCAGAGGGAGGGAGAGCATCATAGCTCCTTCTGTTTGTGTCACTGTGCATCTGTTATTTGTACTCCATATACTTATTTTCTCTTGTTTCCTTCTAGTTGTCCCCATGGGACCCTAATGTTCGAGAGCTGAGATCTGACTGTTACCTTGAAGTTGGAGACCTGAACAAAGCCGTGCAAGATCTTAAGCCCACAACAAAACTGCGCAACGACAACCGTGCTGCCTTCCTTAAACTGAGCAAATTGTACTACACCATGGGGGTGCACGAAGAGAGTCTGAGGTAGTGTGTGTGTGTGTGTGTGTGTGTGTGGGGAGAGGAGGGGGAAGGGCTCAAGTTGTATTACAGTATAGTGGAGAACGAGGGGAATCTGGGGTAGTGTGAGGTTGTATTACAGTATAGTGGAGAATGAGGAGAGTCTGGGGTAGTGTGGGCTGGGTGAGATTGTATTACAGTATAGTGGAGAACGAGGGGAGTCTGGGGTAGTGGTGCGTGCTTGAGAGAAGGGGTTGGATGAAGCTTTGTTATTGGGGAAAACGAGATTATGTAGGGAGAGTGGAGGTTAAATTGAGAGAATTCTTGTTTTTCTTTTTGAAGTCATGTTCGTGAGTGTCTGAAGCTGGACCAGGATGATAAGGATTGTTTTTCACACTATAAACAAGTGAAAAAGTTATCCAGGCAGTTGGAATCTGCAGAAGAGTTAATTCGAGAACAAAGGTGAGCGTTTGTCGTCGTGTGTCAAACAATAAGGTGTGTGTGTAAGCCATCATACACGTGTTCTGGATGGGTAAGACACCTCTATTGTCCATGTCTGTTAGTGAGTCTATCGTGTTGGTGTGACTCTGCCGCCCAGTGTCCCGGATGCTGTTTCGTGCCCTATCTGTTAAAGGGATACTAAATGCATTAAAACAACTTATAGCTTTTTGAAGCAGTTTTGTGTATAGATCAGGGGTTCCCAATTGATTTTTGTATTCCCGTGGAATCCTTTAACATAGTGTACCAACAGCATTGAACCCCCCCAAAAAAATTATAATTGGCAAAGTGTTATGTTTTTTCTTTTTTTCCCCCCGCAAATTTAGTTTTTTGGTATATATATACAATTATTTCTATCACTATATCAGTGTGTATCTGTATCTGAGTGTATGTATCAGTGTGTGTGTATTTGTATCTGATACATACACTCAGATACTGATGCGCACACACACAAGTCCAGCGGTGTTCGCGCTGCTGTGTAGCCGATTTTAGTTCCAGGCACTCGACGTCCAAACACCGCTGGGCTAAAAGGAAATCCAAGATGGCCGCCGCCGCGTGGTCGGTAGCCAAACGATGGCCACCTGGGAAATCAATTAGCAGCCGATAGATACATGTTGCAACTGGTTAATGGGAGCCACACGACCCCCTGTGTGTGGGCTCCCATTCGGTACTTTGTTAGTTTCACGAACAGTATGGAAAGTCACTATTCATGAAACTACCAAATTAATGCTAGCGGCTTTCGGCCGTTAGCATACGAATTCCCTCTTTATTACAGGTATAGCCGAATACATAAACTAACAGAATTGGACCAGCTTTTCTAGGACAACATGTAGACCTATAACCGCATAATCTGAAGTGGCTAGGTTTACCACACTTGGATACAGATACACACACTGACGCACACATACTGATACACACACACACACTCCTGCTCTCCATCTACTACCCCCTCCAAAGCTCTTTATTTCACTAAATTAAAGGCTTTGAAGCAGTGCTCCAAGCCACGCCTCCAAACCACCTGGATGTCAGAGCAGGGAATCTTACTTCCCAGTGTTCTATCAAAAAACCCTACACCGTGAAATTTCCCTATCACCTTCACTACCGATGACACTGCCAGATCCGAAGTGAGCAGAATCTGCTGTAGGTCTGGTTACCTGTGTGGGGCGCCTGTGCCCCATCAGAAGGGGGGGTAGGTGATTCTTCCAGTACGCTGTGGTGGTTCTTGACCGTGTTGATAGTGCGTGCAGGGGAATGGGGGCGTGTCTGTATGATAGTAGTGCACATGCGCAGTAGTGTGGGGTATGGTATTTTCATGATGCGCATATGCATGCTCAAGCACTAGCTGTGTGGTACTCATGCGCAGTACTGGGTAGGGTATATTAGCAGCGCTACTGCTGATTCAGGATATTTCGGTGTGGCAGCATCACTGGAAGTAACGGGGGTAGGCAATTTTCACGTTTTTTTGCCATACAACCTTTTCTCGTACCGTGATGTTACATTGAATCATGTATTCAGTGATTCTCTATGGCACAGTCATGCCTCGAGGAAGTGGTTGTGGCCACTTCGAAGGAGGCCCTTGAGAAAAGGTCATTTGTTTTATTTTAATTTACTGTGTGTGTGTGTGTTGCTATATATATATATATATATATATATATATATATATATATATATATATATATATATATATATATATATATATATATATATATATATATATATATATTGTGTATCTATATATATATATATATATATATTGTGTATCTATATAAATATATATATACTGTACATATACACGGTAGCTTAAACTAAACAGGCACATCTGTAGCGTTGGGAATAAAGCAGATAAGTATTCCTTACACTATAGTGCCCCTTTAGTAATCTAAACTGGGTAGTTTAGAACTGAAGAGGTACCAATAATAATTTAAATTATTGACTATATTTACATATTCCAGAAGAAATGTAGCTTCTGGAGAGAGAAAAAATCTATATAAAACTGTTTTTTATGAATGTTGATCAGAGCAATTCCCATCCACGGCACAGGTATGAAAATGCCATTGAGAAACTTGAAGCAGCCATCAAAACTGAACCACACGTTGAGATTTATAGGAAGAGAGCAAAAGAGAGAATATGTCACTGCTTGTCAAAGGTATTCTGATTGTGTATCATGTACTCTGCCACAATATACACAGTGTAAGCCTACACACACTGCCAGGATATACACTGCATGTCTGCAACCTGTACTCTGCCACAATATACACAGTATAAGCCTACACATACACACTGACAGCATATACACTGCATGTCTGCAACCTGTACGCTGCCACAATATACACAGTATAAGCCTACACACACACACAGCCAGGATATACACTGCATGCCTGCAACCTGTACGCTGCCAGTCTGGAAATACCCAGCATGGTCACTGCCAGCGTGTATACAGCATGTACACTGATCAGCCACAACATTAAAACCACTGACAGGTGAAGTGAATAACATTGATTATATTGTTACAATGGCACCTGTCATGGGGTGAGCTATATTGGGCAGCAAGTGAGCAATTCAGTTCTTGAATTTCATGTGTTGGAAGCAGGAAAAATGAGCAAGCGAAAAGATCTGAGTGACTTTGACAAGTGACAAATAGTGATAACTAGATGACTGGGTCAAAGCATCTCCAAAACTGCAAGTCTTATAGGATGTTCCTGGTATGCAGTGGTTAGTACCTTTGAAAAGTTGTGCAAGAAAGACAACTGGTGAACCAGGTGTAGCGGAGGCCTGGTATTTCACAGGTTATCTCCACTCAAGATCCCAGTGAGGCTCAGGAACAAGTATTAAAAAATCCATAAGGCAAGAAAATCCACAAATATCCCAATACGGATCCCAATGACTGGACGAGACACAGCATCAGGAGCAGAACTGAACTTTTTTTATTCCCAACAACCTTCTTTTAAAGCTTTCTCCCATGCAAGGGAGGGATTCACATTAATTAGTACAGTACAGTATCCAATCTCCTCCCCTCACTTATACATACTGCAGTTTTACCCGATTTCTGGATGTACTCCAAAACAGTCAGAATTATATAATGAGTATAACCAAAATATTCAAAATTCACCCAGATCAGACCAGGGGTTCGAGAGTTAGGTGGAAGAGGCAATTTGACCGACCGCACACGAGGTAGTATCTGAAAAAGGCTCCATGTGTTTTGGCCTTGCGGTCGGTCTCTGTTCGGGTGATAAAATGCATAGAAATACTCGCCATCCAAAGTTAAATCTGTATTCGTATTTATTCCCTTGTTCGGGACATTTATTTTACCGAATGAGGAGCTGGTTGGCCCCTCCGTTTGGGAGTTATGGAGCTCTGGAGGTCTCAGCGGTGTTTGCCTAGTAGAGTGTCCGATTTTGCAAAACACAGCTGTTCTGGAGTTTGATGGCCGCTGCCACGTGCTCGTCTCCCGAACGGCGGCCACCCAGAGGACAAAGCACACACTGCACTGATTGCCAGTTACGAGTTTGCAACATTGTTGCAAACGGTAGTTGGAGGCACACTTATTCCTGGGGTGGTCTGATTGTTCTGTAGTTTCACTCGTTTAATAAACGGAGTGATTTTACCGAACAATCAGACGAATGCTGCATACAATATACATATATACAAAATTAAACGAAAGCATATTAAAACACATAATTTTGCGGACAATGCCATCCGCTACACCAGGGTCATGGGCACCCAAGGCTCATTGATGCACATGGGGAGTGAAAGCTAGCCCGTCTTGTCTGATCACACGCAAACGCTATTGTAGCTCAAAATGCTGAAAACCATAATGCTGGCCATGATAGAAAGGTGTCCGACACAGTGCTGTGTAGCCACAGACCCATCAGAGAGCCCATGGTGATGATTTTTCCACTTCCGAAAGCACCTTCAATGGGAATGTGAGTGTCCGAATTGGAGCGTGATCTCCCCAGATCTCAATCCGATTTTAAGAATGTGTGGGATGTGCTGGAACAACAAGTCCGGTCCATGGAGGCGGCCCCTTGTAACTTGCAGGACTTAAAGTATCTGCTGCTAATGTCTTGGTGCCAGATATCACAGGACACATTCAGAGGTCTTATGGAATCCATACCTTGAAGTATCATAGCTGTTTTGGCTGCACAAGAGGGACTAGCATGATATTGGGCAGGTAGTTCCAAAGATGTGGCTGATCAGTATATAATGTCATACCCACAGTATGTAGGCTACTAGCATATACACATTATGCCAGTAGTATGTTAAGTGCTAGAAAATACACAGCATGCCCAGAGCACTTAACTTAATTCCTCCATTATTGTATTATTTATAAAGGCAACTCCTCTGCAACATGCACTTCATATATTTCCATGAGGACTGCAACACCAGAACTGCTCCCATGTTGCCTTCACAGCTGTGGCACTGCTTGCATGTTTTTTTGCCTTTTCTTAACCCATGCATTACCTTGGTGTGTATATGCAACAAGGGGTGCTAATGGTGCTCTCTCTCCCAGAGTCAGCAGACCGATCAGGCAATAACAGTCTGTACAGAAGCCCATCAAAGAGACCCACAAAATCCATTTCTCCTCAAAGACCGAGCTGATGCTTACATCCTAAATGAAGAGTATGAAAAAGGTAGGATCATGCAGAAGATGATGTGGATATTTGTAGTGGAGGTCTGGGTCTATATTATTTGGGTGTGTGGTTATATAGTTACTCTAGGGGAACGGAGTTTGGGTGTGTGGTTAGTCACCCCAGGAGAGGTGAATTTTTGGGTGTGGTTATATCGTCACCGTGGGAGAGGTGAGATTTGGGGGTGTGGTTATATGGTCACTGGGAAAGGTGAGATTTTGGGGAGTGGTTATAGTCACCCCGGGAGAGGTTAGATTTGGGGGTGTGGTTAGTCACCCCGGGATAGGTGCGATTTGGGGGTGTAGTTATATAGTCACCATGGGAGAGGTGAGACTTGGGGGTGTGGTTATATAGTCACCCTGGGAGAGGTGAGATTTGGGGGTGTGGTTATATAGTCACCCTGGGAGAGGTGAGATTTGGGGGAGTGGTGGTATAGTCAACCTGGGAGAGGTGAGCTTTGGGGGTGTGGTTATATAGTCTCCTTGGGAGAGGTGAGATTTGGGGGTGTGGTGGTATAGTCAACCTGTGAGAGGTGAGTTTTCAGGGGGTGGCTATATGATTTTATTTTTTCTGCTTTTAGCTGTGGAAGATTATCAGCAAGCTAAAGAGCTGGATGGCGAGAGCGAGGAATTTAAAGAAGGCCTCGAGCGAGCTCAAAAACTACTCAAGCAATCCAAGAAACGAGATTATTATAAAATCTTGGGTGTTAAAAGGTACTCTGTCTGTTTTACACAGTGGACATGACATATCTTAACTGTGAGAGAATCTTGAAAGCAGGCAGCGAGTGAAAATACCAAATCCTATACATTGTAAAGGCCTAACTTACTGTGGCAGAAAAAAAGGCTATCCTCCTCCTTCGCATCTTTGCAGTGTTTGTCATTTCTACTCTTTGCCCTCTGTTGCGTTTTATTATTATTATTTTTTTTTTTTTAATGTGTCCTCTCTGGCTCGTGGGGTCTCTCCTTTCCTCTGACATTAAATGTCAAAAGGTCTAGTCAGGCAAAGTCTGCGTTACCCTGCAGTAGCTTGGTGAGCGTTCCCTGCCTGGCACCGCACTCTCCACACAGCTATTGTAAGAGAGGGAGACCTGACAATTCAAAGGGGAAAGCTAGACTGCCTCGCGGGATGACACCGGAAACGGGTGGGTTTCAGCCGTTAAAATCAGGAAAATTGAGAAATGAATGGTACATTTTTAGGGACAACATAAATCTCATAACCACCAATAAACATTGTACAATAGGTTGCATGACGTAAAGTTCCATTATATATAATCATCATTTAAGTATACAAACTATATTAACTGTTCTGTTCCACAATATTTTCATGATTTAGATCAAACAGCACAATAATGACCACAGTTCACATTTGAATGCCGAATGCATGTGACTGTGATAACGTAACATTGGTTACCTGCGTTAAATGTGTGAATCCTGTTTTTGTTCTTTTCCCCATTTGCTACAGTATTTGGATTATGTTATTGACTTCTACTCAGAGGAAAAGCAAGCAGCATTTATATGGAACTTTCCTCTTTCATAAATGTGAAAGGGGAGCCACCACTACCCTAGAATCTTAATATTCTGTTTGTTTATAGAAACATAGAATGTAACGGCAGATAAGAACCATTCGGCCCATCTAGTCTGCCCAATTTTCTAAATACTTTCATTAGTCCCTGGCCTTATCTTATAGTTAGGATAGCCTTATGCATATCCCACGAATGCCTTAACTCCTTTTTGTTATGTTTAACAAATATGTGTTTGGGAAGTTTAAGAGACAAATTCACACCATTGTATTTACCGCTATCATTTATCTGAGTGATCCATCTTAACGTCCTGTCAGTCATTGCTATAAGCTCCGCCCTTTGCTCCTGTCAGTCTGCACAGAGAGGAGAAACAAACCAGGTTTCTCCTCCCACAATGTATCCCAATGCTGTGTCTGTGCCAGGACTTAACTGGAGTGTGATATCAACTGCTAAATCTTTAATATACATTTAAAATATAACATGTGACAAAGACGGGTCTCTCTCTCCCCCTGCTCTCTCGCTCTCCCCCGCCCGCTCGCGCTCTCCCCCGCCCGCTCGCGCTCTCCCCCGCCCGCTCGCGCTCTCCCCCGCCCGCTCGCGCTCTCCCCCGCCCGCTCGCGCTCTCCCCCGCCCGCTCGCGCTCTCCCCCGCCCGCTCGCGCTCTCCCCCGCCCTCTCTCCGTCTCCCCCGCCCTCTCTCCGTCTCCCCCGCCCTCTCTCCGTCTCCCCCGCCCTCTCTCTAATCCTCCCCCCAGCCCTCTCATCGTCTCCCCAGCCCTCTCTCCGTCCTCCCCGCCCTCTCTCCGTCTCCCCCCAGCCCTCTCTCCGTCTCCCCAGCCCTCTCTCCGTCTCCCTCCCACCCCTCTCTCCGTCTCCCCCCAGCCTCTCTCGTCTCCCCACCCAGCCCTCTCTCTCAGTCTCCCCCCCGCCCCTCTCTCCAGTCTCCCCGCCCTCTCCAGAGTCTCCCCCCCGCCCTCTCTCCATGTCTCCCCCCCCAGCCCTCTCTCCGTCTCCCCCCGCCCTCTCTCTCCCCCTCCACATTTGCAAGATATTAATTGGTAAAGAAAGTTATAACCAGCAGATATTAAAACATTTTTAATTAGAGTCCAAAATAACCTAATGCATGGAAGTTCTAACTAAAGAACAGAAAGGAAAGTGGTGCACAATACTTGTACTGGCTGGCAATACAGCAAAATTATAATTAGCACAATTCTTAAGCAAATCTGGATGTCTTGGTTACTAATGTGAGGCTTCATGGATTCCTACGGTGAGGCATCTGTGAATCTGACCAGGTAGTGCACAGTCCTGCTCTGTATTGAGAGGCCAAAAATATTTTTATAAAAATATCACAGGCCCGTGGGTATTTGATTGATCAGATAGACTGGGACTTTCAAAGAGGTGCACTTGCTGCTGTTGCAGGTGCTTGGTACGAGGGTATGTTGCCGATGTTGCCAGAAGTCCACAAATATCTGGTCGAGCCGGGTAAGAATTTGAGACTGCTGGTCTCTGCTTTCTAGGAGAAAGTTTGTGTCTGCCATGTTCAAGGAGGGGCCCCTCCCACGAATCAGTCAATGAAACGTGCCTTCAGGCACTATAGAGCTATTGATAGATTCCGGGATTACTGTGCCCACTTTGGGTTGGCCGCAAAATTCTCTAGTTCAGGAACCTCCAAACACAAGAAGAGTTGCTTCATGCCTAGATATGCTAGAGTAGTGCTTTGAGACTAGAAGCAGTGAATGATCGATATTTGTGGCCGATCTGACAATCAAGATTTGCTTGTTTCTCTTAAAAGCTCTCTTCAGGCGTCTGGTCAACTCTTAAGTTAGGCTTTGTCCCCCTATAAGTCTTTATTTTTTTAAGAGTTAATTAACCTTTAAAGCCTCTTGTGATCCTAGTTTTTCCGGCTCTCTGTATAGTTAACACATTAGCTTACTATTTATATTTATTAGTTTAGTAGTTCATTAAATGAGTTTTCTTTTCTTACCATTTCTTCCTCTATTCCTCTAGAAATGCCAACAAGCAGGAAGTGATCAAGGCGTACCGAAAGCTGGCTCAGCAATGGCATCCAGATAACTTCCAATCAGAGGATGAGAAGAGAGAGGCAGAGAAAAAATTCATTGATATCGCAGCTGCCAAAGAAGTTTTAACAGACCCAGGTATTCTATAGCACTGGGCCCAATTATTTTCCTGTATCACCTGCTCTCTCACCTCTCTGCAACTTCTCCTATTCCTCAATGTAACGTCTCCTATTACTTTTATATAGCCTTCCATACAGCCGCCAGGGAGCTAGCGTTCGGTTCCATTCGAATGAAGGGAAAGTGCCGAACCAGGGAAAGCTACTAATGGCGGCTGGGCAGGGTAACTCCAGAATGGTGTCTCTTACCTGGACCATAGTCGGTGGGCAGGAGGCCAGCTTCCACGCTCCTCCAGGAGTTTGTGGCAAACGTTTGTGGGAAGGAACGTTTGTCACAAAGCCCTCCCTATAACTCCTCCTATTACTCCATATAATCCTCCATAAAACTCCTCCTATTACTCCATATAATCCTCCATAAAACTCCTCCTATTACTCCATATAATCCTCCATAAAACTCCTCCTATTACTCCATATAACCCTCTCTATAACTCCTATTACTTCATACAAGCCTCCCTATAACTCCTACTATTACTCCATATAATCCTCCATAAAACTCCTCCTATTACTCCATATAATCCCCCATAAAACTCCTCCTATTACTCCATATAACCCTCTCTATAACTCCTATTACTCCATATAACCCTCTCTATAACTCCTCCTATTACTCCATATAACCCTCCCTATAACTCCTCCTATTACTACAAATAACTTCCCTATAACTCCTCCCATTACTCATATAACCCTCTCTATAACGCCTCCTATTTCTCCATATAACCCTGTCTGTAACCCTCTCTATACTCTAGAACTCCTTCTATTACTCCATATAACCCTCTCTATAACTCTTACTATTACTCCTGTAGCGGAATGGACGCTTGCCAGACACTTTTTATGTTCGTATTACCTGTAGCAGAACTTCCACCTTTTGTGTGTTGTTTTCCTGTTATTTTGTGTGGTTCCTCTTTGGCCGTTCGGGAGACTTCATACGAACAGAATCCCTTGGTTTCCCGAATGAGGACCACCCCTTAGAATGTTGACACCAACCACTTAAGTGCGAAACCGCAAGGAAAACCATTAATAAGGGCTTCCCCTGGGTGGCTGCCAGTTTGTATAACTGAACACGTGGCGGCCATCTTGTCTCCCAAACGTGGGCAGCAGTACTCGGTCGTTGAGTGCCTGGAACTCTTTTCGGCTATGCACTCGCCCGAGCACCGTTAAACTTTAAACCACTGCCCGTTCCAGTTCCCGACCACCTACACGAACAGCGTTCGGGAGATATGAACTACGAAACAGGGGGAGCATTCGTATTCTGAAATAAAGATTCCCTTGTATGGTGTAAGCACAAGAACCTCATGAACGGAGACCGGCCAGGGCAACAATTTCCCTGGAACTGTTTTGGGCTAGCGCCTCGTGTATGGCCAGTCAAAACTTTACCACAATGTCATTCCCATTCTGCCAAACAGATCAGAGTGATTCTTGGATATGTTGGACACTCAGATTGGGGCTATTGGGGAATGTACTTTTCGTGGGGTTCTGGAATATGGTTGAGGTTTTTTTTGGGTACAGGATATTTTGTTGGATTTTATGTATCTGGGAGATAATTGCCAGAGAAAACGAATCTAATTTAATTATCTCTTAGGCACAGAGGATCCTGAGATTGAAAACCCTACATTATTTTATGTGAAACCCCTTACATAGGACTGGGCATAAAAGCAGTGTATGTGCCAATAAATTTCAGTTGTACCCCCAGAGCTGTGTGTCGTCCAGTTACTGGGGAGGAGGTGGGAGATTCTTTGACTAATTTGCTTGTTCCTGATTGTACTTTGATGTATCCAGCTGAGGAGAGTCCCTGATGGGACTAGGGCTCCGCTACAACTCCATATAACCCTCTCTATAACTCCTCCTATTATTTCATATAACCTCTCTATAACTGCTTCTATTACTTCATATAATCCTATCTATAACTCCTCCTACTACTTCACAGAACCCTCTCTATAACTCCTCCTATGACTCTATATAACCCTCCTTACAACAAAAAGTATAAATTCACCTGTGTGCAGATAGAAAAACACACTTAGTGGGTATTAAGTGAAAAAACACATAAATTACCCTTAATTAACTGTATTGTAGATGGAAGGATTCCTCTTATATCCTCAAGACAATAATAACAAAGTGCCAAAAAATGGCTATCTACAATACAAAAGTAATAAAGACAGACATAGCGCAATACTGTTGCAAAATAGGAATTATAGATATAAATGATTGCACTCACAAAAACAGTTTGATTGAAGGCATATCAGATATAATGATGTATGAACTTCAGGACTTGTGGAACATCGATATCATGCATAGGAGGAAAAAAGATAAATAATAGTGCAGAGTATCCAAGTAAAAAATGACACACTTTATTAATAAATACACTTACAAAATAGAAGTGTCAAGTGGGCACATCAAGCTCAGATGGGAGAAAAAAAACGAATCCCAGTGTCAGGGTCCAGTGGAGCAGGAAAGCCAAATAAACAATAAAATAAAATCAATAATAAATGAATAAAAGATATAAAATACTCTAGACAATAAAGGACATAAGCCCTTATGTCCTTTATTGCCTAGAGTATTTTATATCTTTTATTCATTTATTATTGATTTTATTTTATTGTTTATTTGGCTTTCCTGCTCCACTGGACCCTGACACTGGGATTCGTTTTTTCTCCCATCTGAGCTTGATGTGCCTACTTGACACTTCTATTTTGTAAGTGTATTTATTAATAAAGTGTGTCATTTTTTACTTGGATACTCTGCACTATTATTTATCTTTTTTCCTCCTATGCATGATATCGATGTTCCACAAGTCCTGAAGTTCATACATCATTATATCTGATATGCCTTCAATCAAACTGTTTTTGTGAGTGCAATCATTTATATCTATAATTCCTATTTTGCAACAGTATTGCGCTATGTCCGTCTTTATTACTTTTGTATTGTAGATAGCCATTTTTTGGCACTTTGTTATAACCCTCCTTACAACTACTCCTATTACTCCAGATAACCCTCCCTATAACTCTTCCCATTACTCCATAAAACCCTCTCTATAGCTCCTCCTATTACTCTATATCATCTGTGGCGGGACCGTTGTCTGTCTGTAAATTGTCTTATGTGATTGCCTGTATGTTCCCCATGTATTTGTGAATCTGTGTATGTTTTACCTGCTCCCCGTTCGGTAAAGCTCATACGAACAGGTTCCGTTCGTCTCCCGAATGGGAACCTCTCCAAGATCCCATTTAGAATGTTTAGTTAGAACGTTCACACCTCGCTAACGAGGTTTGGCAACTTGCAACATAAGTGCAAAACCACAATAACATTTCGCAACAAGTGTGAAACCACAAGGAAAGTAATTGAGTGCTTCCTCTGGGTGGCTGGCGTTCGTATGGACGAATGCCGCCCAGGGGGAGCATTTGTATCCCGAAAGGAGATGCTCCCCTTGCCTGGTTTCACACAGGGACTTCACGAACGGAGGAGGTTCGCACTGGACACAGTTGTGGAGGTCCCTGAGAATGGTGGGGACATTCCTTGGGGACAATGGCGGTGTGGCGGGCTTTCTGTAGCTGGGATTCAGAGGCAGGAAGCTTTCCCGCGCTGGGACTCCCATGGACAGAGGCTCATTGGATAACTGAGGTGGGAAACCCTGAGGATGGGTGGCGGGAACTGGGGTCAAAGGAACTAGAGTTCCTGTCACAGGCCCCTGGGAGGGAACACTGAATGGCGGGAACGGGGGACAAAGGGACTGAGGTTCCGGTATATAACCCTCAGGAGGAGGAAGAGGATTCTGGGAGGGGACATTGTCATTGTGTGTGTGTTCCACCCCTTCCATGAGGAAAGTATAAAGCAGAGTGTAGCCAATAAAGTGTTGTTGGACCCCCAGGACTGTGTGTTACTGGGGGAAATGGGTCTCTTCCTTCTGTATTGGCGGAGGTAACCAGTTGGGTAACCCTCGTTCAGCTACATAACCCTCCCTATAACTCCTCCTATTACTCCATATAACCTTCCCTATAACTCCCCCTATTACTCCATATAAGCCTCCCTATAACTCCTCCTATTACTCCATATAACCTTCCCTATAACTCCTCCTATTACTCCATATAACCCTCCCTATAACGCCTCCTATTACTCCATATAACCCTCCCTATAACTCCTCCTATTACTCCATATAACCCTCCCTATAACTCCTTCTATTACTCCATATAACCCTCCCTATAACTCCTCCTATTACTCTATATAACCTTCTCTATAACTCCTCCTGTTACTCCATATAACCCTCTCCCTATAACTCCTCCTATTACTCCATATAACCCTCTCCCTATAACTCCTCCTATTACTCTATATGACCCTCCCCATCACTCCTTCTATTACTCCATATAACCTTCCCTATAACTCCTCCTATTACTCCATATGACCCTCCCCATCACTCCTTCTATTACTCCATATAACCCTTCTTATAACTCCTCCTCTTACCCCTCCCAGTTTTGCTGTATATGACGCACGTTTTCCCTTTATTCTCAGAGATGCGTCAGAAAGTGGATGCTGGGGAAGACCCCTTGGACCCGGAGAATCAGCAGGGCTCCGGACACCACCAGCAATGGCCTTTTGAATTTAACCCTTTCAGCTCAGGAAACTTTCATTTCAAATTCAACTTCAATTAATTGTCCTCTTAGGACAGAAGGAAAACCATTTTATGGATTATTTAACTCCAACTGTGAGACTAACACTCCCATTTATCGTCAGACCCAAGCAGCCCACTGGCATTGATAGGGTTAAAGGAAGCCGGTATTTTGACTTGAGAGAAATCTCCATGGTGCTGGCACTTCGGGAATCATTGGCACTTCAAGAGAATTTACTGTGACTTAACCTGGAGAACCCGGGCGGCGTGCCTAATCAGATGTCCAACTAGGTCAAGAGTTTCAGATTTTATTGACTTTCTTAATGCAACAAATTTAAAAGAAAATATATATACAACAGAACTTTGGTTGGGTGGGAAATAAAAAAAAAAAAAAAAATTAAATTACATTTCATGATTTCTTTTCCAATGGATAATGCAGCTGAATTACCATGTCAATGTTTATGTGGAATTGAAAAGGAATAGGGGGAATATTTTACTGGTTAATTGGATCTTAATTATTTTGTTTACTTATTACTGGAATTTATAAAGCACCAACATATTCTGCAGCGCTGTACAATTGGGAAACAGACAAATACAAAAGGTAGAGGGCCCTGCCTGTGAGTTTACAATCTAAATGTTGACATGGGGAAATGACACAAGAGGTAGCAGAGGAATTTGAAGGTGATGGCAGAGAGAATTAATAGTATGATTGTAGTAACTGATGAAGGGAATGAGGAGGTGATTGACTGTGATTCCAAACAGTTGAAAGTAATGATATATAGTTAGAAGGAACCTGGGTGTGTAGAGCTGGGTAGAATTGAAAAGGCTTTGTTGCACAGATGTTTGGGGATTGGGCCGAAAGAGTAGATACAGTTATTTAAAGGAATTTACAGCTAGGAGTAGCGAGGAGAGGAGTGATAGAGCCATTAATAACTGCAAGTTCAAAATATTACAGTAATAAACTATACAAATAGTAGGGTGATTATAGTAAAGCAATAATCTAGTAACAAAAGAAATCCGGTGCAGTATCTTCTGAATTTCAATCTGTACCTTAAAGTTGTAGCGTTCACATTGTAAAATCTTTTGTTGCAGATTAACCCTTGTGCATGACTGGTGAAAAAAGGAGCTACGAGTCTGCCCCTCACCCTGTGGGGTGACACAGTGACACAGACAGAAGGAGCTATGAGTCTGTCCCTCCCCCTGCAGGGTGATACAGTGACACAGACAGAAGGAGCTATGAGTCTGTCCCTCCCCCTGCAGGGTGACACAGACAGAAGGAGCTATGAGTCTGTCCTTCCCCTGCAGGGTGACACAGACAGAAGGAGCTATGAGTCTGTCCCTCCCCCTGCAGGGTGACACAGACAGAAGGAGCTATGAGTCTGTCCCTCCCCCTGCAGGGTGACACAGTCACACAGACAGAAAGAGCTATGAGTCTGTCCCTCCCCCTGCAGGGTGACACAGACAGAAGGAGCTATGAGTCTGTCCCTCCCCCTGCAGGGTGACACAGTCACACAGACAGAAGGAGCTATGAGTCTGTCCCTCTCCCTGCAGGGTGACACAGTGACACAGACAGAAGGAGCTATGAGTCTGTCCCTCCCCCTGCAGGGTGACACAGTGACACAGACAGAAGGAGCTATGAGTCCCTCCCCCTGCAGGGTGACACTGACAGAAGGATCTAGGTGAAAGAGGGTGACAGAATTCTGTTTCCCCATCTTTGTACAGCTCCATGTGCTAAAAATTTTAGAAAGGATTTATTATAAATTGATGCGTGTGATTCTATTTCTCTTGCTAGATTGAATAGTGGTTTGGTTTCACATTTTGTCAGTGATCGCTAGTATTTATTGGGGTGTTCCTGCTCTGAAAATACTGAAACTAACTTAGGGAAAAAACCCTTAGGATTCATTGAGTGCCCTGTGATTCTCTGGCGCCTCTGCTCATTCTGCAGTGCTACTAAATTTACATGCACCGACATTCCACCACATTCCCCCCTTTGATGCCTCTGATACAAATTATTCCAGATGCATCACCAATCACAGTTTTACCTACATCTCTCAAGTAGCCATTGAACCAGAGTAGACCTTGTAAGCATCTTAAAAATTCCTTCAACATTCCTCATCCTGAATATATTCTCTTTGGGCTAGGGGATCATATCTATAGACATCCATTACATGAGCTGCTGTCTTTCTCTCTATAGTACTCTCTATAATACTACATAGGGACCTTACCACTAATGGAATTAGGGCAGAAAAAGACATAATAATATGATAAAACACTACTCCTCCTACTAACGCCTTAATTCCTCCAAGCTGCTCATACCAGCTTCCAAACCAACTATTAGGATTATACCCATTCCAGACCTGAGTAGGTACATGCGCAAGTTTAACCATGTGACTAGTAAGTTCAGCCACTGCCTGACCTTCATCATCTATATGCAAACAACAGTTGCTAAGGTTAAACTTTCCGCATGCACCTCCTTCCACTGCTAATAAATAATCTAAAGCTAATCTATTTTGATAGATGGCTGATCTCATCCTGGTATTTTGCTTAGCTAGAAGATTAAGCGCTTGAGCTGTCTTATTAGTAATAATCTCAACCACTGCCTGTAGTCTAATAATGTGGTTGAGCATATATATCGGAGTTCTATATCCATAAGTGCCATCTTCTGCCCAAGTAGCAGGTCCATAATAATTAATAATACGTTGAGGGGGCCACTCATCATCTTCCCAACTACCTATATTCAAGGATGCTCTCTTCCTTTTATGATTTACATCGTAAACCTTAACTCCCAAGGTCTCTCCTGTCTCAATTGGCAACAAGGAGGATGGCCTGAGCATGCCCCTTCCCAATCTTGTGGTAACTCCGAATAAGCTTTCTTACCACAGATCCAGTATAAATTTGCTGGGGCTTTCCAACTAGATGTAGCAGATAAGTCAAACCATATCTCCTTTAAATGAGTGTAATTGGCAAACTGATTAGTAGGCTCTGAGACATTTGAAGCTGACCACCAAGTAGTATTTTTAGTATTAACATTATAGGCTTTTTGTCCCAAGCAAGTTAGCTCACCTACAGACGTGTTATACATTGTCCCTTTCCTGGCTAAACATACATGACCTATAATGGAGGTTTTTAACCACCATTCCGATTTACTTCTAGTACTTACTTGATGATCAGACTGAAAAGGTATCTGTTGTTCATATGTCTCAGAGCCAGGGTACCATATTTCCTTTGCCTCCCATGGCCACTGGTCTTAACACAGTAAAGAAGTTTAAGCATGCGTGAGATAGGCATAAGGCTATCCTAACTATAAGATAAGACTAGGGACTAATGAAAGTATTTAGAAAATTGGGCAGACTAGATGGGCCGAATGGTTCTTATCTGCCGTCACATTCTATATTTCTATGTTTCTCCCATATTAGTACCTCCACACACATAGTAATTAGTTACATTAAGACTACCTGCAATACTCTCTGCCAAATCAATAAATAGGTTCTTAACATTATGGGGAATTTTATCCTCAACACTCATCTCCTCATAAATTGAATGGAAAACCTGATGAGTTTGAGTTGCCACTGTCTCAGTTTCAAGACCTACATATATTATTGTTCCTGGATTTACTCCTGTGCCATGTATTTGGAACCCAAAAATATTTCAAAATTTGTCAATAAAATGCTGGGGATTAGAGATGGTCATATGGACCGGATTACATTCCATAGATTTACAGTATGGTGTGGTAGGCAACCTTTGGATAATCTTATCTTGATCCACTGTTTTTCCCCAGGTTGCCCACCCTACATAAGACCAATAGGGACAAAAATTATAATCTCTATTTGGGCAATCAGGATCAGTAGATCTTTTACTGGGACATAAGTATTTATCATTAAACCCATAAGTTTGTTCCCATTTAAGATTACCACATACATTCCAAGGTTTTCTAGTACCAGAAATCGCCTTACATGCATCAAATAGCAGAACACCCGTAGAATGTATGGTATTTATCACAGTCCTATTTATCAAAGTTCCCTGGGAATTACTATTCCTAATTACCAACCACATTGTACAGGGGAGGTCTGATTGTTCGGTAGTTTCATTCGAACAAACTAAGGGAATGAAACTACCTAACATTCAGACGAATACAATACATTAAATACATAGACTTTGCTGTTTTCACACGAATGCATTAACATACATGAAATTCTCAGGACAGCCCAGTGCCATCCGCTACAACACATAATAAAACACATTATTCCTGAAATCCTCATTTTTCTTCGACCGTGCGATGGCCCCTCAGCTTCCCGATTGTGAGGGCTGCAAAGATGTTGTTCTTCTGATCCTCACTTTTCCTTCACAGAGATCCCTTCGAGACACTCTGGCTATGACACGTAGGCAGTTGGTCAGGCTTTATTATGGCCATCAAAACACCTACTTTGCTGATCTCTATAGTTACTCTAGATGTCCCAATATCTCCTCGTCACTCCGACTGAGTTGCACGCTTCAACCGGATCTTGCAAGGATTCTCAGGATCTGGGATAGCTTGCCAAGAGTCTGATGCTGGTTTAACCCTAGAATGATGAATATACTGAGTCACCTCTGCCACCTTTACAGCTGTTGGGGTAGATAAAAGAACAACATAAGGACCCCTCCACTTTGGACCTAATGGAACAATATTCCATTCTTTTATCCACACTTGATCTCCTCGTTGATAGGAATGAACAGGTGGATATATGTTCACAGGTAACCTATCTTGCACCAATTTCTGCACCTCCTCCATAGTTTTACCCAACTCTACAACCTGCTGCCGAGTAATTCCTTCACCCAACTGATTTAAGTCCCCCCATAGATTACTTAGTATGGGAGGTGGACGCCCAAACCCCCTTGAGTGCAGTATATGGGAGGACTCCCAATGTCAGATTTGCAGATAGATTACACTGTGATGCCTAAATCTGGGGATATCGTTATTTGTTGGTAGCTGTGTGCACCTACTCAGGCTAGGTAGAAGCTTGTCCAACTCGTACAGAAAAGGCAGGAGAAGTTGTACGATTTCTGTTGCAAGAAGTTATACCCAGATATGGACTTCCGTGTTCTATAGGATCAGATAATGGCCCAGCCTTTATTCATCAGTGTTTGCAACAACTAACTCATGTGCTTGGTATCAAGTGGAAACTTCATACAGCCTATAGACCTCAGAGTTCTGGAAAGGTGGAAAGGATGAACAGAACAATAAAAACCCAGTTGGCTAAAATGTGTCAGGAAAGTCAGCTCAAGTGGAATGTCCTTTTGCCAATAGCTTTGTTGCGAATACGTAGTACGCCTACCAGAAAGATGGGTTTGTCTCTTTAGTAACAGCTGCTATCAATAGATCATCCACATATTGAAGTAGTACACATTCTCCTGGGATGGTCTTGAAATCTTGCAGATCCTGGCTTAATGTGGATCCAAATAGGGTAGGTGAATTCTTGAACCCTTGAGGTAGTCTGGTCCAGGTCATCTGACGCTTTGAACCTGTAAGAGCATCTTCCCATTGGAAAGCAAAGATATGTTGACTCTCAGCAGCAATTCGAAGACAAAAGAAAGCATCCTTAAGA